CTTCATCACAAAATTTTCAAAAAATTTTGTGTCTTCGAGTTACAAACCTCCTCATATAGATTCGTGTCTGAGTCACTCCCCAATGATCCACCCAGATTATGTGAAATTCTATCGTTCAAGCTGGGCTCTTGTACATACTTGAAGGCAAACCGGATGTCGCAGCAAAAAATAAAATAAAAATACGATCTCGGCAGTGTACGAAGTTTGCTGTGCAAACCATTTCTCGATAGCGGAAATCGCCAAATCGCTATTGTTTCTGCGTTTTGCAAGTTAGGCGCTGAGTATGTACCATTTCCGTACCACCACAAGATATAGTATTATACTCTTGCTTTTACTTCAGTTTGTCGTTTGAAACGAAACGACTCCAGCCGATCGCAGCTGTCGACTCCGCGGTGGCCTGCGCTCATTACCTAACGACTTTTTCTTACATCATCAACAGACTTAAGGCCGAACGTGGCATGAGATTCAACACTGTTGATGGGGTGTGTCCAACTGAATGTTAAATCAACTCATCTAAAATGGCTATCTTTATTAGAATTTAGAGTACTCTTGGGATTCGAGCAATCTTCATGGCTCTTTTGTACCTAATTAAGAGCGCAACGCATGGGAGTTGCTTTAGAGCAGTGGAGCATTGTAAAATCGGCGCTTCCTTCATCCTATTATGCAAAGTCATCATAAAACGAACCCTAAAGCGATGGAGGAGTTTGTACCCAAAGAGCAAAATTTTTTGAAATTTGATGAATAGTTCAAGTTTGAATGAAAAGCAACATTTTCCTAAGAAACGCACTCCTCCGAAATTTATGCGAAATAGACAAACAGAAGAGGGGGGGGGTGAATATTATAATATTGTGGGTGAAATTGTAAGACTGATCTATACAATGGGCCTGGCACTTCGATGGGATAACTACTTAGGGTCGATGACCGGCAGACAGGGCGGAGTAGCGGTGGAAACAAGGACGGGGTCGTAGAAAGCTTTATGAGGTGATTCTCATATGAATTAGATAAACATTTTTCATAGGGATTCAAGGGTTCTACCTTTGACAGGGGTTTTCTTTCTGTGGAAAAGGCGCAATTTTGTTCTGTGAAATGAAGATTGAAGTTGGAAACCCGGTAGTAAGCAACCAATTCAACTACTGTCACTGTTTTCCACCGTGTTTTTGGAAAACACAAGCCCTTCCGTATCGTATCTTCTTTTTGGAATTAACGGGTACCGACTCAGAGCGCTGGAAATCTGCTTGAAGCGCTTCAATTCAACTATTGGCCGTAGTATCGCGCGATGCGCTCACTTCAAGTAGCTAAAAAAACCCTTCTTTTTCACTTACATTCTTCTTAACTTTTGTGAATACTGAGAGGAGAACGGGTCCCATGCGTTAGGCGCCATTGTGTTTCCGTAGTGTCTAAGTGAACCAGAAGCTCCAGATTCTTTCAGAACTGAAAAAGGCTGTCTCGTAGGAAAACGACATTCTCGCAAACCTGCCATTTTCAGAAAAATTGACACCGTTACGATCAGCACAATTTTAGAAAATTCAAACGTATCGGTTTTTAATCAATTCTTAGGTCATACAGTACGCTAATTTGAATTTGGATGATTTGATTTCCACGATTACCCTCTGGTTACAATTATACGAGAGCTCGCTCGCTAACGAGTGTCCTCAGGTACTTCGGGCCAGAGCAGAGTTCATTTTTCAATCTTTTTTTAATTTTTTTGGATGCAACTGCATAGAGCTCGACGAGCTTGAGTCTAACGGTATAGAATTCCATATGAGAAACGGATAGCCCAAATTGAGTTACAGGCGAAAAAAACAAAAATAGGCGTAGATCGCGGGCTTTTTCGTTTTTTTTTCGAACAATTACGGGCGGGGTATATGTACGCGGGAAGGGATTCTGGCGGACGGCATGTGGAAAACGCGAGTTTTCGGGCAAAGTGGGGTGGCCTTTGAAGGACCATAATTCTCAAAAGCGGACCTGTGGGAAGAGGAGACGCGTATTCGTGTATAGGGGGTTTGCACTTCCTGACAAAGTACTGAACACGTTCATGAAGGTCGGCAAAAGATACAGAGAAATCTGCCATGGGGATTCGTTGGGAGTGATTTTAACTGAATCAGGTTGAAATCAATATAATTTTTTTTTGTAACTCAACATTTCACAAATCTTGAGAACGGTTCGAGTGTTGAAGATTTTCTCATTTCTAAAAACCTCTAGAAACCCTGTTTTTTTCTGAGTTCTGCGGGATTCATGAGATCTCGCGATGGGGATTTCTTCGGGGACCACTCAAGCTGGCGCGAAAAACTTCGGCCGTTCCTGTGTACGCATTCAAGTGAGCGTGTTCGAATAAGCCAGGAACGCATAAAAAACGTATCCTGCTGGTGGAGGCCAGGAGGGCAGAATATGGTTCGTCTCAGCGCCGATCACGCTGACTTTTGGATGCGGCCGCGCACTGAGGTCTGCGCAAGAAGTGATGGGTTGGTGTAAACTTGTGGCGTAAATGGTTGTCAACGTGAGCAATGGTGTCTATAGGTTCAGGGAGGTCAATGGCGAGGCTGTGCATTGTTTGGCAGGGTTTTCCGTTGCGTATGATCGAACATGTCCCCTGTCGACGCTGCGCAGATTACGTGGCTCCGCCATTGGCTGACGTCCGATAAAGGAGACAACTGCTGGAAAACAGTTCTATACAACGATATAGTCGCTGTTTGCTTGTTGAGGCAAAAACAGGTTGGCTCAGCGCAAGCGAGATACCAGCGGACACGCCATATCAGTTGGCCAGCGAACAGAGTTTTGAGTTGTAGCTGTTTTATTCACAACGGACCTTACGAGATTAATGTCGACTTACTAATCATTTGCAGTTATTTTCCGATTAGTTTAATGAATGAAAGTTTTGTACTATTTTTCTTGCATGTCGCGAGTTGCTCTACAAAGCAAGTTTTCGATGTACAAGGACTCAGCACCTTGACCATTTGCCTCTGGCTCGTTACTGGGCTGCCGCAAGGCCTAAATACGACGTCCCCCCTGTTGGGGATTCCCACGCCAACGATGTTGCGCCTGCGTGTCAGCAGGGGAATGACCGCGCCTGCGATAAGATACCTCCGGTAATTACTGCGGGAGCCGCTATGGTTGGCGGTCAATGTCTCCGAGTTGTTAGACGCGCTGTCAGTAGCCCCAGCCTCTGTTCGAATGCACAACGCATTCAGAAGCAAATGCTTAACATATTTTACACCAAAGTTGATAGGCTGCTACAACTTAAAACTATGCATACAGGTCGTATGCGCATCCAATCATGCCGAAAATCCCACACAGAGGACGGCTTAATGGCGCAAACCGATCGATGTACTGGCTTCGGCTGTCGATCGATACCGTGCATCAACCAGCTGGGCGACGTAACTAATTGGGAGGCGAAGAGAATGGGCACTGCGGATTTGCCAGAGCAGTCAAGATATTACGATGTCAAAAACTGATTTTAAGTTTTTTAGGTAGCATTTTGAAAATCGAATTGAATCGTATAGAATTCACCAGTTTTTCTTTAAATGGAAAATTTGGGTCTGCCATCCAGCCTTTCACATCAACTTTGACTGGTGATTACACGCTACGTTTTTTGAGAAGTTGTACTTTCTCAACGATTTCTGAAGGAACTTAGCGATTTCTTTACAAACTTGGCTGAAATCTTTACAAACTAGGCTGAAATCTCCAGAACGATTTGTTGAGCCATTGCCGCACAGTGCTTTCTCTAGCACTATTGGGCCCCCACACCTGGTTAATTTGTAGAGCTGTTTCGATTGCGGATTGCCCCAATTTATAGTCGAAGAAAAGAATCGTCCGAAGTGCTCTTTTCACATGCTTGAAAAAATCTTGAAAAAAGGGGTTTGTTAAGCAATGGTGAAACGCCAAGTATACCGTCAGATAGCGCAAGAAATTCTCTACAGGATGTGCTACTGAGGAGCAAGGCAGAATGTGTTTTTAATCAGCAGTGAATGTACAAAAATTAGGTCCTTAAAACGCTGAGAACTTTCCGGACAACCTAATACATATATGCAGGTTCCTAGAGCAGCAGTGAGGGTTCACAAAAATATTTAACGCTCTTGAAGGCTGGAGTGCTCTCTGTATGAATCCCTTTGTTGAACTAGTGTGATGAAGGTGAAACAGCATTTATTTGTTGTTTTATAGCGGTAGCAGTGAGTCGTGCTAATGGCTTCTTAAAGGCAGTTGGCACCATAAATCCCCCAAGACGAGCAGGATTAATACGCCTAGCAGGCGAGAATATCTGTGAAAATACATTGCCTAAAGTCTTCGTTACTCTCGATCATTCGTAAGCNGAAGCTGAGTCTCTTCTCTTTGTTGGCGTCCCGAATCATATGGCAGTACTTCGTCGTCGTTCTTCGATATCCCAGCTTATTCCGCAAACGGCGTACATGGGATGCACTTACAAAAATGTTTCGCTCCCGCAGACGTCGCATTATCAACGCCGTCGTGGCTGACGAGTTGGCTGAATAAGTGTCTTCAATAATCATCCTGATTGTGGGAAGGACTGCTAAAAACTTCCTGGCTCGATACTTAGCTTTTTTGCAGGGGAGTCTGCATGAATAATGTTCCTGAATAAAGGCTCGGACTTGGTGATAGCTAATCGTCGAATCATGCAGTTGAATCTCCTTGTGAATATCCGAAACAGACTTCCCGGAGCGGTGCATCGGGTGAATAATGTTGCTGTACCGAATAAGCGACATAACCACACGCGATTAATACTGGCTGTCAAACTGACGACTGTGATGGTCACACGGATATAACCTCCGGCGGAGGCGACCGCAATTACGGCAGGGGCCGCACACGATATCCTCAGGACTCTAACGCGGCACACGGTTACAGGGCTGAGACGATGTACCTGTATAAAAGTGTGGCAGGAAAGCTTAGACTAGATATCATGACCAAGCCTACACACGCTATCGTTTTCTTCACTTCATCGAAAACTGCAGACATCGTCGCGCTGGCAGCTATATCTGGCAGCCATGTTGTCAACACTACATCGAAAGTTCGCTGGAATAAGAAGGTATACAAGGCTAAGGTATGTGCGGACTCTGAATTATCGTCGTGTGTCCTCAGTATGTCCCTAAATATCCCTTTCAAGATCGTTCACATCGGCACGAGAGCTCAGTGTGAAGAAAAGATCAAGGATGTAAACGAAGAAGGAACGTTGATGGAAAGCTTCTTCACTGTTGGAGCCAGCAGTGTTACTGGACAGGACGAAGACATTGCTGAGACAGTCAATGCTGACCCGGTGCTCGAAGCCCTACATCACGTGCAGAGAGGAATGAGTGAAATGCTCGAGCAGATGATGCTCATGAGAAGAACGACCGCGGGCGCCCTGCGTGAGTTTGAGATGAGAGTGCAAGGATCATTTTCCCGTTTAGAGCGGCGTATAACTGATTTGGAGTCCTCAGTTGATGAACTAAAGCTGAAGCAAGGAAGCACGTCTACAGGTGGTCATTTCGCTTTCTCCAGACTGACTTGACCATTGAACTTATTGTTTTCAATTCAGAAGATGGGATTGACTTTTCACTTCTTTCTCGTGAGCGAGTAGAGACACTGCTCTCCCTGAAGTGTGGTCGGCTAACAAAATTCGCTCTCGCATTGGAGCAAGAACTGTATGAGCACGACCCTTCGGAGCTTCTGCTCAACGTAGAGGACAGAAAACTGACGGCAAGAAGGGTAAACTTCATCCGAGAGGTGACTCAACCGCACTTCTGAAATCCATATCATGTACTAACAACTACCTTCTAGGTCGTCTTCAAATACTTCAACGTCTCTGAAAGTGCCAAGAAGAGCGTGTGGCAGACGGTGAAGAATGCTTTAGACGGCAGGGTGCGAACATCACGCGCTCGCAAGTCAAATGTGCAGTCGGCGGACCACAGGGGCCTCTCGCCCTCGCCGGCCAGAATCTTGCTCACACCTCCACGAAGGGAAGAGGTGTACGAATTCAGTGACAATTCTTCTGACCACCAATTTTTTGAATTGTAACTACAGTGCTTTTCAATTCACTAGAAGCTCTCCAGTGCATGAAGTTCAATAAATTTGTAATTTGAGATTATGAGGCATTGAAAACCCTCAAGAGCAAATTTTACACCAAAGTTGATCGGCTGCTACAACTTAAAACTGTGCATACAGGTCATATACACATCCAATCATGCGAGAATTCCCACACGAGGACGGCTTAATGCGCGCAAACCGATCGATATACCGGCTTTGGCTGTCGATCGATACCGTGCATCAGCCAGCTGGGCGACGTAACTAATTGGTAGGCGAAGAGGATGGGGCAATTCGCGATTTGCCAGAGCAGTCAAGAATTACGATGTCAAAAACTGATTTTAAGTTTTTTAGGTAGCATTTTGAAAATCGAATTGAATCGTATAGAATTCACCAGCTTTTCTTTAAGGTATCTCTTTGGAATTTACGGTGTACCACTCAGAGCGCTGTGAATCTCTGCTTGAAAACGCTTCAATTCAGAGTTTGGCTGTAGTATCTGCGCGATGCGTCACTTCAAGATAGCTAAAAAAACCCTTCTTTTTCACTACATTCTTAACTTTGTGAATACTGAGGAAACAGGGTCCATGCGTTTAGGCTCATTGTGTTTCCGTAGTTCTAAGTGAACCAGAGCTCAAATTCTTCAGACTGAAAAGGCTCTGTCTCGTAGGAGAAATTGACATCTCGCAAAAACCTGCCATTTCAGAAAAATTGACACCGTTACGATCAGCACCAATTTAGAAAATTCAAACTATCCGATTTCTAATTAATTCTTAGTCATACAGTACGCTAAATTGAATTCTGGATGATTTGTGTTTCCAACGATTACCCTCTGGTTACAATTATAGCGAGGACTCGCTCTCGCTAACGAGTGTCCTCAGGTACTTCGACCAGGAGCAGAGTTCATTTTTCAACTTTTTTAATTTTTTTGGATGCCAACTCATAGAGCTCGACGAGCGAGTCTAACGCGTATAGGATTCCATATGAAAAAAGATACCCAAAATGAGTTACAGCGGAAAAAACGGAAAAAAGCGTAGATCCGCGCTTTTTTCGTTTTTTTTCGAACAATTACGCGGGTATTGTAGGGATAGGGTTCGCATATAGACGGAAAGCTTTTAGTAATTCCGAAGTAGTGGAAGCAAAAAAAACAGGAAAAAAATCTCATGTCTCTAGAGTAGAGCACCCATTGTCGATCCCAGATCGCTACTTGCCCAATTAACTCCAACTTCAAACACTACGCCCTCATCCTTCACGGCTGCATTCCTCCCGATAAGAACTCTACGACTGTATACGAAACAGTTTGCATGCTTTTTCCGTCCTACAGCTTCGTTTTCCACTGAAAGGTGGGTCTGCGGAAGGCGAAGTTCTTGAGGCTGGAGTCACTGGAAAAAAAGAGGGCGTTTCACTGAATCACTATGAGCGGTAGCGCCCATACCTTGCAAGCTTTTGCAAGTTATGGGGGCTCTACAGGCTCAATAATGCTTGAAAACTTGTAGCCTTCGCCTGAAAATGCTGGTTTCCCCAAAAAGACTATCAATAGTACAATAACTGAGTCTTCCACCATACACTGGCAGCTAAGTTTGCAATTCTGTTCATAAGAGTGAGCTTAAAAAAAGGGTTATGTGGGCGTGTCGAAATTGTCATGGCGCAGGGAGGAGGTTGTGGGGCCTCAAACACATTGCTGGCAGCAGTAAATACTATAGGGGAACAACTCTCACAACTCCGTTCGGGCGAATCGATTCGACAATACAGAAAGCAGAGCTTCGCATAAATGTGGCCTGCTCGATGTATCTGAAGCGGCACATCGAGAAGGAAAGCCAACAGAGAGCAACGATGCTGTCTACCGTTCAAGATTTGCATCAAGTGTCGGGTACAGGTCACATTTATCCCGTTTCCCTGACATGATAGCCATATCGTAAAGAACTTCGCAAAATCTGTGAATCATAACAATTGGACTCTGCACAAAATCGATTCCCGTTTTGTTCGCCTGTGCTTACCCTTGATCTACCTAATTTTATTACATTTATAATTTGCCTATGCTCTCCCTGCTGATATCATCACATAATCTCGGACCTACTCTCTAATCGGTTGCCATTCACAATCCTTTTCGAAGCGGAAGTAAAAGTTTGCAGCATGGAGCCACTCTGGAATCTACTCATTGCCTCGATATACTGATCCAATTGATTTCAACCCTATTCCTCTGCGCTACAAGCAGGGCCCATCGATTGAGTTGGGGAATCCCCATACAGGGGGGGGGGTCGTAATGGCCGCCAGGCAGGGGGGGCGTTCGTATTGAATGCGGACAGCCAGTAACGAGCAGCGCAATATTGTCAATGTGCTGACAAGGGGTAAGCCGATACCAACTCGTCTGGCCATTAGAATTGAGATGTGTACTCCCTAGGAGCGTCGTCCGGATCTGATATCAATGCTGAACTTACAAATTCGGCTAAAACGATTCTGGGTGGAGGATTTACGGCACGGTTTTTTGCTACCGTGCTATAACCATGGCGGTGCCGACCCCCTCCCCAATGCATTGCGCTCGTAAACCCCTCGTGACGCCTCTGCCGCCGTGGGCTCGATGGCGCAGCAGAGAAAGTGGGTGGCTTCATGCGTAGTGAGACGGAGGTTTCAAGACTCCTGATGACATTTTAGTAGTTTGCTTGGTTCTTGAAACGCATGTCAAATACCTTGACAAGTGTTTTCGTTGCTGTCCGACGCACCAAGGACCCCCTCCCTGGCTACTTTATGAGCTCCACGCGAACGATTTCGTGGAAAACTTACATTTTTGCAACTGGCTTCCAAGCGGGACCAAATTACACATCATATTTGCTTGGAGCCCGTGAAACTGCGAGATTTCATCATCCTAATGCAGATGACAACTGTGCTGCGCGCCAACGAAAAAGATTTCTCATCTCTGGTTAGCTCTCTTCACTCACAAGCCCTACTAATCATCACAGCAACATCTTTGCCGACCTGATCCACATAGTTGGAAATTTCTGCCGGACTCTGGTGGCTATTACACCTAGTGAAAGAATCAGGGTCTTGTCGAAATCGGTTTGATTCCTTATCCCGCCGAAAAAAAGAAATTGCAGAGAGTTCTATCCCTGATGCGTGCGCGACGCACTGCTAGCTACAATGTGTACTATAATCGACTAGCGAGGGAGATAGCTTCGGGTGAGACAACATACGGATCCCTTCGCTGGCGCATCTGAAGATAACGATGAATCCCTTCAAACATCAGATTGAACAATTTCTTTCTTAATTCTGTATTTCATCAGTGTTACCTGACACTCATCCAGAGCGGCTTTAGAGTTCACTCCAATATTGCATACATATTCATTGGAGGGAATCATGTGAGAATAATGGTTGCAGCGAAATTGCTTTTGGTTCGCGAGCTTCACACTGTGAAGAACTTTTTTGCTTTAAACCATTTTGTATTGGATATCAATCACTCTACCGTTTAAAGGCACAACGGTGCGAATAAATTCGCAATCACAACGGTAGTGCATTAGGAAGTTCGCATAACAATGTGCTATGCAACTCCGGTAAGAAAAAATGGCAGAAAAAACTCTGTCTGCACCTCGTTACAATCAGAATAGAAGTCCCATTTCAAGCCAGCTTCGTCCATACGTGCCCCAGTGAGCTCCATCTCCTACACACGCCCTCATACGCGCAGCATCATCAACTAAAGAACTCTACGACTATACACTCCTCTTCATTAGCGACTGTCGGGTGTATCGGCCAGTAGACGAGTTGCGCACACATGTTTGAAAGCGCTTCTGCAGCCTTTCTTGAAGCGCGTATGCTGACAAAAAGTGGTAGAAACGAGTAATACGAAGGGATATTAATGCTGTTATGTCATTTGATCGCTTCAACAACTGAGATGCAGAAAGACTTTGAACGCGGAAAACGCAGCAGCACTGACCCGCCCGACGTCCGTAATTGCATGAGAGTATACAAGTGAGCTTTACGATTTTCATTGCTTTTCGTTACCTGCAGCTTCGTTTTATTGCATTGATGAGGGCTTTGAAGGCGGAAGATCTGAAGACCGAGCCACTGGTAAAGAGTTGTCCGTCTTTGGAGCTATATTGCTTATAGCCACCCTACCCAACAATTTTTTTCGGCGCGTAAACCAGTACAAGGTTGTTCCTTGACGGACCGTACCCTCGCAACACCATAGTTTCCAACTTTATTCCATCGTGGACCAAAGCGCTTTGATGTTTCCCATCAAATTAGAGAAATCATAGCCTCGAATGAAGCTGTCATGTCAACATCAAAATGAATGCTTTCACTGAAGGTAAAAATAGTAACCCCTGAAAAAGTCTGCACATAGGCCCTAATAAGAAGCAGGGAGGGGTCTTGGTGGTCGACCAGGTACGCAAAATAGCTTCCACAAGTGTTGTAGCATGCTGTTCAAGAAAAAGCAAAATAACGAAATCGCCATCAAGGATCTGAACCTCCGTTCCCACCACTATAGAAGCCATCCATTACCTGCCTGCGTGCCACTCGAGCCACCGGCGGCTACCGCTTGAGTCGACGAGGGTTGCGACGCCAAACGCAGGGCAGAGGGGTCGCCACCATCCAATGGTTGAACACGGTAGCAAAAAGTTTGTCCGTAACTCTCACCGCAGAATCGTTTAGTCAATTTGGAAGTCAATTGATATCAGCATCGGAGACGCTTCCTAGGAATATACAATCTCTTTCTGAATGGCCAGACGAGTTGGTATCCTGTCCTCTGTGTATGTCCCTGTTACAGCGAAACTTGCTTTGTAGAGACTTCGGAATATGCAAAAAAAAAAACAGTACAGAACTTTCATTCACCAAACTAATCCGAAATAACTGCAATATTAGTAAGTCGACTATCATCTCGTAGTCCGTGGGCTGACTAAACAGTAGTAAACAGTCAAACTCTGGTTCGCTAGCCAACGATATGGCGGGTCGCTCCGCGGGTCGCGCTTGGCGCTGAGCCAACCTGTTTTTTTTTCTCGCGCAAGCGA